AGCAGCAGAAGCAACAACTATTATGACAGCGACTGGCTGAAGCAAAAGCAATTTGTTGCACTCACTCAGATACAGATACATACACAGAAAAGTCTACCATAAAGAATTGTATCTGTGAGAGACAACTCAATGCGCTCTCGACTCTCGACTCTTGGCTATATGAAAAATGGATCTGCTCCAGAAGATTTCAGTAATCTCGTTCGTCACACATGGCCGCTCAAGTACAAATTTATGAAGACTCTCTGATGGTGGAGCCCTCCCTTTTTGACCATGTCCGAGTGGGTTTTATTAACTTGTTCTAGAGCTTCAAGAATGTCACGGTAGAGTGGCCAAAGTGTCAGTGGATAAGACATTCCGATTGCCGTCTGTCTGTATGATGTAAGTTCAATAAATTTTCCATTGCAACAAATGCACAGACAATGGCAATCACTGTTGCCTCATTTGCTCATTTGCATGGCAATATTTTGCGAAATCCCAGCTAAATGACTCCCCGGTAACGTATCTCCTGTGTGAAGAAATGGGCGCGTTGTTGAAAGCGCCAAACAATTAATGTGACTGCAATGGGCTTAATGAACTTTTGCAAAAAGCAAAATCCAACTAACATCGAAAAAAAAAACATTAAATTCAAGTGGGAATAAAGGGAAAATCTGCGATTGTCTTCATCTCCGCGAATCATTATCCCTTTCACATTCGATTTAGCATTTAACGATGCACGAAATCAGCCTCTCCGGTATCCATTTCCACACCGATTTCCACTTCCATCCCGACAATTTCCACGCAAATTTCAATTAATTAAACCAAAAATATTCCTGCTGCTTCTGTTGTTGGGCTGCAAAGGCCAGGGCCTTTTACAATTGACGTAAAATATAATTAAAATTGTTCATGTCAATACGCAAAGCGAAATCGGAGTCGAGGGGCCGGCAGAAGGGGCACAAAAAGTCAACGCGATGCGACGCATTCAATCAATGCGTGGCAGACAAAATGCAAAATGCACTTTTATTGTATTTTAAAACAAATTGAAAAGCCAACAATGCGCTGTAGAAAAAAACGTTGAAAAATGCTGGCGTTGGTCAGAAAATGAAATACCACAAAGTTGTATGCTCTGTAAAAAAATTGTTTGAAAATGAGAATTAGGAAGAACATATTCTTGTTAACATGAAATGTAATTTATCTGACTAAAAATACTAACTACTAACTCTTCACCTTCTAATTTACCAGTTCACTAAAATGAGATTAATATTCAGGGGTACATAGACCAAATGAGAACAAATTTGCAAAGTTTTTTAATTGCCTTTTTAAACCATCGCCCAAATATGTTTTGACTGACCTCGATCCTCATCCGTTCATAAATTATCATGTTACCATGTCATATGATAATCAGAATTTATGGTTTAATTGTTAGATAATAGAGCAAAGAATTAATTCCCATGCCCCCTTGGCATTTATGGCAAACAAAGCCCATCATATGTCAGTCGAGAAGGGTTTTGGGTTAGGGTATTCCTCTGCATACATTTCTGTGTAATAATAAATATTTTGTTTGGCTTTTGTTTATGTAGAGCTTCTCATTTTTTTCGAATGGTGTTATGGCACTTTTTTTGTTGCATTTAATCTTGCATTACTCTCGTTGCAGCTTTGATTTTTGTGTCGTTGTTGGCTGTTGGCTGGCATGTAAATGGGCTAAAAGGGCGTTGTTTTTGTCGCTGCATTTTTACGCCTGCCTAGTTTTATGGGTTTTGTGCAGTTTTTACTTTCACCACCGAATGCAAAAATTGTCTGTATAAATTTCAGTTTCGATTGGCCAACCTTCTCCTACCTCCAAACGATATGATGATCGATGTCGGGCAATCGAAAAGTGTCAACTTAAAATGCAGGTGCATTGCGACCCCAAACATCTTTTCACCTGCCTTCACAAAACGCAGCGTCAACATCATTATGGTTGCTGCCTGATTTCTTTTGACGAAAGCGCAAAAATTTTCCTAATGATGCCGCGCAAAATCAACTGCAACTAACTGTTTGCTGTATACCCATACCCATACCCCATATCCATACCCATACCCAATACCCCACCGATTTTCCACCGCATCGACTGCAGTAATCTGGTCATGGCCAACGTGGATGATTGTTGACTTTTATGATTTCCATTTCTTAGCATTATTATGGACGTATGGCAAATCAACAGCAGCAAATAGAAAACACACTGCACCGCAATAGCAGCAGCAGCAGTTGCAGCTTCAGTGGTACAAAAAAAAAATCAATAGAAATAGAAAACCCCCGGATGGGGGCAACTCTCCCCGTTCATCTGTTGTGCGTATGCCATAAATCGTAACAATAACTACTTGCCACTTGGCCAGACAACGAGCAGACATCGCTGTCGAGTTGGATTCGTATTCGGATTCAGAGTTTGACTCGGACTCAGGCTCAAAGTTGGAATTGGACATGGACATGGACATGGAGCGGACGCAGAAGGCGGCATACGATTTCACTTGACTGACAAACAGACATAAGCAAATTGTTTGGCTTCACTCGCACGATGTTGGTTATATCCCTCAAGTGACTTTCTAAGCGATTCCGAATGCCTGCAACATGAAAAATGTGGAGCGAAGGCAGTGCAGCAGTGGCAGAGGCAGTTGTAGTGGCAACAAAAAAACAGCTCAATGCCATTATCATTGGGCATCATATCCCCAATTACTTGTAATTCATAGAGTATTGTATACTGTACAGTATGGCTTCGTAAAACACCTGGATCTCGGGACTCTTGGGACTTTGGCTTACCGTCTCTGGTATGTGAGCTTCTTTTTGTGATTATTGGGATAATTTGCTTAACCCTCTTATCTTACCAAAGATTCCACCATGAATTATCCTCCATAAACTTGTAAAGTACAGGTTTTATATTTTGTATGGCTTTAGAAAGAAGCCGAATCTCTGGTTCTATTAGAGTTCTGGGGATAATTTTTGGCATGCGAACTTCTTTGATGTTTGTGATTATGGAAATCATTTCATTTTTATAGGTATCCTAAATTTTGCGACTTAAGTTTATGGATTGACTTCCTTATTGCGGATAAAATGTGGAAACCGCTCAGATCTCAGATCTTGATAAAGATATCCTTACTGCGAGGTACCTTTCCGTTGAAACCCACATCTTCCTCTTTGATAAGGTTATTCGGCCCATTTATCCACCTACGCCCACAATTTTACCGCCTGTCCTTCAACGCGTGTCCAGTGTTGTGTAGTGTGCTCACAAATATTGTCCCACACAACTCATAAAAAGCCCATTTATAACTGTTAACTTGTACAAAAGTATTTACAGACGATTTAGCAGCTCACAGAATTACAACCATCGCCACACAATTGCAATTGTTTATTTGTGTTTACTGCCCTCACACCGCCCACATCTCCAACACCCCCTCAACCGCCTCCGTCTCAATGAAGAGGATTTCCCACCATCACCTCCCCCTTTCACTGGTCCGCTTCTTTTGCTTTGGCAACTACTACTCCATCCATCTCTCCCTTTTGGTAGCAATAAAAAGTGTTGTTATTTGTACAATGTTGTTTGTTTGTATGAGTGTGTGTGTGTGTGTGTGTGTGGTAGAGTGTGTTTTTTGTTTTGTTTGCTATTATTGTTGCTATTATTACAGTTGTTGTTACATCGGTCGTTGTTTAGTGGCCAACACAGCTGCTGCTGACACGCAGAATTCAATGCAACAAGAAGCAGCAGAAGCAGCAGAAGCCCAAGTGCAAAACAAAAGTAAAAAACAGAAAAAACAAATAAACCAACAGTGGCAGCAAAAATCATTGAGAGAACTCCAAATGGGTAGAATCCAAAGTTTACCATTGTCCCATGGTTGAATGAACATAAAGACAAGGGTTTTCAAGCTTATGGCAGATACGGGGTTAATGATAACATTTGGCAAAGTGTGAAAAGGTTGGTTCTCACAAAAGAGTATAAAAGAAATCAAGATAGAACTTGGAAAAGAAACTGAAAAACTGTCTAAGAATTAAGAAATTGTGAAAAACTATTTTTAAATGTAATTTTCAATCTTTTAATTTCATTAAACAAGCAATTATTTCTGCTAGAAAAACTTAATTTTGCAGGTTTTGTGGATAAAATGTTGCAACGAATTTATTGAACTTTTTTACATCCTTCAAAAGCTCTGCTTGTTTATGGAAATTAATTATTTTCCTTCTCTTATTAATTCTGCGCGGAAAAAACCCCAACATGTTTTCACACATTAAAACGTTCGAACATTAATTGCTTTAAAGCTGCTCTGATGAATAATTCTCAAGGCTTTAAGTGAACTGAACAGATTGCCTCATAATTAGTTGGGAACACAACATTAGAATGTGAATCAAGTTCTGAATTCTAAGCCTCTTAGGGACCTAGCAGGCCATCTTAAATACTTGGGAAAATAATATATTATTATCTAAGCTCTTAGAAATACGAATCAATGATGATAAATTAGAGAAAGTACAGAGAACAGGCAGTAACCCAGTTTGTTGAATAAAATTAAGGTGAACAGCTTACAGCCTTATTATGAGCCAAATCATTAGAATTTCTATTAAATTTAATATTTAATACATTCTATTACCAAAGCCCATTGCGTCAATACACTAGCAGTATGTCAAATTTTATGAGGTGCAAATAGATAAAATTCTGGCAAAGAACAAGCAGCTGAATTAGTTTGCATTTTGTTCGCATTTGTTTTTTGGGGCAACGAGCCCGTTGCAACAATTACTGCAGCGTAAAATGAAAGAAAAGTAAACAAATGCACTTTATCTGCTGGCCAACAGAGTGCAGCAGCATTTGCAGGGAAAATGGGTTATGAAAAACAATTTGAAAAGGTATTAAATTTATGTCAGTCGCCCGCCCCTCGGTTGTTGTAAAATTTTATATCCACGTACTATACATACGCAGAGGGAGCTGCTGGTCGCTGTCAGCGGAATTTCTCATATTGATTTTGCCTTAAATAATAAAAACTCTTTTTCCTCTCCTTGTTTTTTAGCGCTGCAGCGTTTAATGGCCAATGGATAAAGTGAGGTAAGTGAAACAAAAAGTCAGAAGGGAAACGATTTTTAGCATTGCTTATTAAAAATAGCTGGCTTGTGCACAGAAAAAGCTTAAAGTGCCTGGACAGAGACACAGACTCAGTCACGAGGCTTGTTGTAGTATTTTTTAAGAATTGGGACAACAAGGCGCATAAATAACCAACATGCCACAAAAAAAAAAAGAAAAAGTCCGTAAAAAACTAAGCGAAACTCGCCAAGATACTGCACTTAGAATAGTAAACAAGCGAAGGGGACAGGGGTTCGCCACACAGCAAAATATTCATTACTATAAACTAAGTTGTATTTTAACATATTATTTAAAATGTTTATTATTTAAGTTCATATTTATATCATTTATAAATCAATGATATAATGTTTTCGGTCGTGGTCAACCTCTATCATCAGTTTAGTTTCTTAAAACTTACAAAGCTTCAGTTTTGATGTCACGGCTAACAAATTTTTTATTAATTGACCTACAATAATATGTGATTTTTTCTACTAAATATTTTATATCAAATTTATAGCCTTTACGTTACAAAGTTATTGGCAATAATATGCTTTTAAATGTCTTAAAATATTTGGACAGCAACTAATAAAGTTGAGTTATTTCATGATGTTTGATTTTTCTTGCTGTGTTGCAAGTCCAAGGAGTGAGTGTGTGTAAAGGAATTGCAACTAAATACGAGAGCTAAGATGAAACGCAATGCATCCCGCCCCCACCCATCGCATTTCCCCACTCGGGCCACAGTGGGAGCAAAAAGAAAGCGCACATACCGGTTTTCCGCGGCCCAGAGACACTGCCAGCATGCGAGTATAGTACACGGGGACAGGTTTATTTTCCCGTTGGGACTGTGTGACAAATCAAGCGAGAAGCGAGAGCGAAGACAACAACCGCGAGTAGGGAAAAAAGGTTAGGGGGGATAGCAAGAAGACATAGCCTTCGTGCGCGAAAAACGTCAATGGCCAGGAAAATTCTAAGAGGGGTTAGGCGAAGAGGCCGGGGGATTGGAAAACTGTGTGCATGAGGGACGGCGCACAGCTGCGACGCGCTGCGTAATGGCAGCAGGAAATTGAAAAAAGTTGCCGCGCGCTCACCTTTGGGCGGCTGCTGTTGCATTTCCTTGCCTGTTCTTGGCGCTTTTCTTTTCCACGAGGTATTCCGGGGAAAACCGGGGTATACTTTGTAGGCTTACAAGTAGTAGCTATAAAAACTTCTGTAAAGTTAAAAATTGATTTAAAAATAGTTTTAATAACCCTTGTCTTCTACACTCCGCCTTATTTATGGTTCATAGTTTACGATCAAGACTTAAAATTAGCCATATACAAATATGATTTAAAAATTTAATTGCAATGCAAAAATTCATTTTCCTGCTGCCAGCTGTGCATCTAACTAGATAATAAAAATTCTCTTTTATTGCCTTATTTTCACAGTCGTTTCTGACAGCAATACAATTAGCTTCCAATTACTAATTGTTATTAATAAAAAAAATGTTTAGTACTGGGTATCGGCTCGTTGGGTATTTGTTAGTCATTTTGCATTTTTTTCCTGCACTTGACAGTCGTTCCCACCTTAACCGCCTAGGAAAGAGTGTCAAAAGTCAAACACTTTGGCTTGTCTCAGCCCCGATCTTTTGAGTTGTGGGAGTCACACGGAGACACAGTTTTTTTCGGTGATTTATGATACTTTATTTTTGGCTGGTCGAAACTAGCTTAAAGTCCCTGGCCTAGAAAATAGGGAAATCAATTTTGCACACTCTTAAAGCTCACTAATTGCCTAAGTCTTTCAAAAACTAAATAACATAGCTGTTAAAATAGTAAGTTAGTAATTAGTTTCGATAATTTGGTTTATCTATAAGGCTTTTGTTTTTTTTGTTTACCAAAATTGAAACAAGGCTGACTTTTTTGGATTTTTTATTGAGATTAAACTTTGTTTTTAATACTAGACTTAGCTAATAATTCATATGTTGATGTAAGTTAGTATTATCCTTTTTAAATTAAGATTTTAAAAGTATTCTAATGACTGGTAAATACTATATTCTTTATATCACAAAAACTTCCATGAAACTGTTGATTAAATGCTCCTAATTCATGCTTTCCTGGATGCGGATAAGATTATTTAATATTTTTTAAATCATACGGAAAATATAAACCTCAGAGATCTTGATTTTCTTGTTTTTCTATCTATAATAACTCATATTCTTCAAATTACTTAATATGGGGCTCAATTAATTAATTAATTTACGACTTCCGTCTTATGAATGCTAATACTACAGCTTGCCGATTTCCTGGATAAACTTTCGCTTGCGTTTCTGCTGTTTCTCGAGCTGTCGCTGCATATTGCTACGCAATCTATCGCGATACTCCCGATTGCGATCCAAAAAACTCCTCTGCTGGAAACTGGCCTCCGGATCGAACTCCAGGTCAAAGGCCGTTTCCCACTGGCGGAGCTGTTGCAGCTGGATGAGTTCATTCGTCAGCTGCAACTTGGTACTCGCGATTCTCATCAGCTTGCGCTTGGGGCGTCCCAGCTCTCGTAGATGCAAATAGAGGGCATAGCTCACGGATTTCTCCGCCCTCCGGGAGTTGCCACTATAGTAGTAGTTGCTAGAATAGTCTGACATTTTTCTATTTTCTTGGTTGCTATGCAAATTGAAACGTTCTCGTCGCCGGTTTGAAGGCAAATGATGCAATCAGTGCGTTTGCAGTTTGACTTTCAAGGCATTCAGGTAGATCGATTAGGGTTTCCCTGGTTTTCCTGGCTTTTCCAGGTATGCAAAAATCCTGAATTTATTGCTGCATATTGTAACTCAAGAGCTCAATTAGCTGGGCGGATGGGAGGAGGGATATCTCTAGATATATATACCTGACGTTACCTATACCTTTACCTGAAGCTAAGCTCGCAACGCGACTTGAACTGATTACGTTTTCCAGCTCAGTTGTTGCCACCGGTGTCATTGCCTGAGGCTGAGGCTGAATAGAGAGCTCTAGCTGCAGGTTCAATGCAAATGCAAATGTGCTTTGCATGTTGCCGCTAATTGGCAACAGTTGTCGATGCTACTGTTCTTTCGCTGCCACACTCTCGCGATTCCCTTTAGCTTCGATGTACTGGGAGAAAATGCCGGGACCAAGACTATATTTTCTCAGAAAACTTTTTAAATACTGGAAGTTTATAAAGAACTCTATCATTTCATTAAGAAAAACCATAAGAAACCACTTAATTTCCAAAAATAGAATTAATTACGTAAGAAATAAGATTTTGTCTCTTTCCAGGTTTCCTACTTTTAATCCCAAGCCTTCATTAATTATTCACAATTAGTTCTCTGCTTACTAGAGCACATTCTGGCTTTTAGGCATTTCATGTTAGTGTACATTTTCAGTTCTTTTTTTTCGTACGGCTGCGACGTGACCCGCATGATTAATGAACGCCGTTATGCTTTTACGGAGTACGAGTATCGAAGCCCTCGGAGCGGTACGCGTTTAGTGTCCATGTCCATGTCCATAGCCAAATCCATGTGTGTAATGCGAGCGCATGCGTCGCTGCCTCAGAGGTGTTGCATAAGTCGGCGCCATAAAATGAACCGGCATAAAAACAATAAAACACCAGCAAATTAGAAATTACCTTTATGTGCAATACGAGGTAACAGTAGAAGAAGAAGAAAAAAAAATGGTAACAAATTTACACACAATGGGCAGTTAGTCTGTGGTATGGGGCATTGCCTTGTGGCAAATGTGCGTGGCATTACATCAGCGATTTCTTTTGGCCAACTCTGCATCTGCGGCCTCATTAAGCCCGGGTTAAATCGGAACTGTAGTCTCCAAGCCGGGGTTAAATCGGAACTGTATTCGCCGTTGCCATGAACCAGGGCGGAAGCTCAAAAGCTTGTAATGTTGCAGATTTAAATGCGAGTGTGTCTGCCAAGTGATTTCCCTTTAGTTGAGGAAAAACTAGTGCTAATTAACCCACATAGACGAGAGTGTGAAGTGGAAATTGCTCTCCAGCTTGTCCAGTTCTCTTGGACTATGAAAAACTTTTCACTCCAGCTGCATTACAATGTTATCCAAATGACAATACGCAATATATATATATATATATATATCTAAAAAAGTTTTCCGGGTGGCGACAAATTTCCAACTGGCAAAACTCCATGTAACAACACAAAATGTATATGCACAGAAAAATAACTATAACAAAACAAACAAAAAGATGTAAAAGGAATATTTTCCACATCAAAATGCACATAAATAATAAATGGAACCAGCCAAACGACCAGAACAGGAACTCGAAACCTGAAACAAAAGCGAATCGAGATGCCAGAAAACTGAAAACTGAAAAGCAGAGAAAATGTTGGTCAGCAGAAGCTTTTGTTTTTATTTTTTTTTTTTCTGGGACAACATTTAATAATGAAAGCGCTGGCAAAAATTATGAAATTAATTTTCCCAATTTTAATTATGCAACAGTTGCTTCCCAGTTGCTTCTCTGCGTTGCAGCTCCTCGCAATGCAAATTGACTGGCACATGCAGAAAGTTTCTGGAGTGGAGACCCTTTTGTGGCTGCATTGCATTGCATTGGCCAGTAGAGGATTACGCCCACTCCGCCTCCATTCAATTATGGCCAACACACACACACACACATGCAGGCACGCATCCGTGAGATTTCAGTCGGTCGGGTCTGCTGCTCAACTTTGATTAGAGTTAAGCCCTAAATTAGTTGCTGCCGTTGGCCGCGTTGATGGCACGACCTTTAGGCCGCCTTAATGCTTCCTCTTTGGCAGTGAGAATGGGCTGCGCTATGAAGTCATCGCGATGGCAACGGATGTGGAGTGGGCAGCTCAGATTTTACATTGATATATGTATGTACTTAAGCCTAAGCTGGAGAAAATCAGCTAAGATGATTTCATATTGAAGAAGTTCCACTGTAAAAAATATTCTCTGCCTAAACTCTAGCAACCAAAGTCTTAACATTTAAGAAAGATTCTTAAAGTATCCATCTGTCAGATGTGGTTAATCTAGCTGAAGTAAACATGGAACACAGATTGGGATGTCGTTAGGGCCGCTAAGAAATTCACACACTCACACACACCCACAACTACACAATCCAAGTGTTAATCGTTCCGATTCCGGACTCATCTGTCCGCTGGACAAGGCCGAGAACAAGAGCAACAATGGCCGGAAGAGCTAGAGCGGGACTTCCGAAACTTAGTTGATGCCAACTTATTAGCGAACACCGTTTAATGGGTCCAATTAATGTCAACCAAGTTGGCGTCGGGTTCGCCAGTGATTTCTGGGAGATTTTCTGTGGGCGCCTTTGGGCCAAGAGTGAAATTCAGTCGAAACGAAAGTTTCGCTGGCCATTGATTGGCTCGCTTCGCTGCACGCGAACAAAAACGCCAAAGTCCGCATCGAAAAACTTTTTCGGATTGAACATTTGTAGAAATGCATAAAAATTAATTAACAAGAAGCTGCCATACCAAAGCGGCTTTTTTGTTTTTGGCTAAAAAGAAAAAAAATTATTATTAGCCATTGGCTGAATGCGATGAAGCTGGTGGAAAAATTAAAGCAAAAGCATAAGAATTTTTAATTGGCTTTTCTGCTTCATCTTCTTCTTGGCCATTGTTGCTATTATTATTCTTGTTGTATTTGTTGTGTTTCCTACTCAATGCCGTCGTCATCGTCGACTTCTCGCACATTTAAGCCTAATTAACTTTCTACTTAGAGCTCAGTTTTCATCTTCTTGCTGGTGAGGAGAGTGGATTTACACTAGGGGAAACTAGAGGTGACTAGAAGGGTATATGGGAAACTATATATATACATTTTATTACCACTTTATAAGCATTTTTTGGTGTTGATTGACTCAATATAAATATCTCTAAGATAACTAAGGTATTTTTTTTAAATTTAAAAACATTTTTACGCCTATCATAGCACTATTTTTGAGATTATTCTTAGTGTAGGGCTTCATCTTGTGAATTCACTCCATTCCTTGGCTTTGGTTCTCCGTGCATTTTGCATTGTTGGCTTTTTGTTTTAGCCCCTTTCCAGCCGTTGTACCTTATTGTGCTGGCCGCCTTTTGGTGCTTTAGCTGCTTTTTCTACTTTTGCACTGCGTCAACTTCTAATTTCATTTGAAGCCTCCGCTGTTGGCTTTGATGATGCCAGGGCCAAGCGCAGAACTAGCTGCTGCTGCTGTTGCTACTACTGCCGCTGTTCAAACGTGGCTAACAAGGTGAAAAGTAGGTGAATGTTAAGCAGCAATGCCCAACAATGTTGGGAAAAACAAAAGAAAAATGGCAACAACACCAACAATGACAAAGAGTAAACAACATTTAGCGAAAGAGTAGAGTGGAGTGAAAAAGAAAGAAAAAAAAAAACAACAAGACGACAGACAAACAACAAAGGCAGAAGACAAAACGTGCCAAAAAAGGGTTAGAGCCAAAAACAAAAGACAAACAAACAAACATATTAACGTAAAATGTTGTTGGCCCGCCGATGTTGCTGTTGCGCTGCTGATGGCACCGATAAGTTGCCGCTTCACCAACTCAGTCTGGGATCTGGAATATATAGTATCTCCGGAATTTTCATCTTCCCCCAGTCCCCTAACCGGAAGTGCACATTAAGTGTTTTTAATTTCCAGTTTCGCACAACTTGAGAACTGTTTGCAAAAGAAAAGCGAAAGGCGCGGGCGTGAATAGAAAGTGTTGCTGTCTTGGCCTCGCACAAATCATTTTAGCCCATTCTTAAAGCTGTCAAAAGGGAAACTTGTGAGTCGCTGACAAAAGGGCACTTAAGAAAAATTATGACTGGGAATGTTTTATATTGCGAAATGTTAAAAAAATATTCCAAAATATTTAAGTATGTATTCCTATCATAAATTATATTTATATTAGTTAAATCTACATCCAAGAAGGTAAAAGCGTTTTTCTATAACATTTTCCGAAATATTTTCCCCGTACGCCAGTGTAAAATGCTTTTAAAATCGCTTTTTCAGATGTTTATCAATAATTCATACAACAGCCAAGGACTGAATGTGAGCATGAATGTTGCTGGCTGTAATGAAAAGCGTTTTGACCTTGAAAGATGATGCCTAGGAAGATAATCCAGTGCTGAAATCGCGTGCAGTTATGATGCACTTAATTTGAAGATGCAGAGATACCAACAAAGTCGCACCATTTTCCACTTTTCCTGAAAGTAAAATAGATTTCAAGAGAGATTGCAACAAAATGAAGAAAAACTACCATTTTTAAAGCCAACATGTGTGAGAGTTCACGGGCTGTGTGTTAACCCTTTACATTTTTTTTTGGCTTATTGTATTTCAGTTTGCCAGCGTTGGGCTTGCATTTTATTTCTTTTATTTTATTTTTTTTTGGCAACGGGGTTAAGCAAAAAGCTTTACAAAACATTTTCGTGTGAAAAATTTGATTAAACCTTGGCGCTTGCAGAACTCAATTCGTTTTTACATAATGATCGGATTTAACGTAAAATTTAATTACTATTTTTGCCTGCCCTGCCGCTGACTTTGACATTAATCATTTTTGCAGTATGCTGACTGGCCGTGAAGTGTTAGCCAGCTGATGAGCCACTAACGGACATGGACAAACAGATTTAAAAACAATTTACTAAGCAAATGTGCATCTAACTGCATTTGCCGAACGCCACTTGAATTATTCATGATGAGCCTGCAGGCATTGTGCGATTTAAAGTGCACTGGAAAATATTAGGTTCTCTAGATTTTCTTTCTTTTATGGATCAAAAAGATATTCATGCTCTGACTTTTAGGTAATATTAATTTGAATTTTTACATATATTTTTATAGTTCCTTATGCAGTCGGTTTGGTAACCATAAATATCAAAATGAAACCATGAAAAGCTCACATTTTTACTATCAGTAAAAGGGGGTTTTAAAAAATGGAGCTGACAAAAGGAAGCAAAGGAAAATCTTTTAAAATAAAATCGATGGGAAAAATCCGTATTTCGCAGTATGAAATATTATTTAAAATATATGTTAAATTCTGAAAAATATAAAAATTAAACTTTATTAAGCCTTCAAAATCTAATTAAACGTCAAAGGATAAAACTTAACTAGCTTACAGTTTTTTCCTGTGTTAAATTAAGTGCAGCTCTATAGCGCTTTTTCCAATTTGAACGATTCAGTGAAAATGTCACATAGATTACGTGACTTTGATGCGATTGACATAGTGGCGAGATTTATGCGTGTCCCCCCTGTCAGGTGGGCGTGGTCAGTTGGGCTTGGTTTTTTGGCCCTCACGAACGTGTGTTGCCTGAAATTACAGCGGACCTAGAAAGAAAGAAGAAAAAAAAAGCAGGGAACAGCGCCCACAACTAATTTGAATGCCGCGGCGAGTGAGTGTGTGTGCCTCGCCAGTTAGTTTGCAGCGACAGTGGAGGAAAAAGTGAATGAGTGAAAGATCACGACCAAAAAGTTGGCAGCGAAGGCGGCACATGAAAGTTTACGACGTCGCATCAACAAAATGGGCAAAAATTGTTGGACACACTATGTTGCTATCTTTCGTTTGTTTTTTTTTATTTCTTATTTTTGTTTACTAACGTCGAAACTTAATGGGCAGAAGAAAAGCGAAACTTGAGAAAAAAGTGAAAACCTTAAGTGGGCGCGGGCTGGCTAGAATTCTTTAATCGCCGGTGAAATGTGGAAAGAGTGGGTTTAAGTGGTAGAATCTGTGGATTTAATGGTTGGTTATGGTTGCCTTAAGGCATTAGAAGGGTTTTGGGTAATACCTAATGGAAATTGTTTTGTTTTTTTATTACTT